GTTTATGGTTAGGGTTTAGGATTTAGGGTTTGGGTTTAGGTATCTGAGCAGCTACAAGTCAGATTGACAGGTTGGCCATGTGCGGTGACAGGGCAAGTTATTGGGTATCTCACCATTGGAGAGTCCCCGGCTTTACAGGCTTATGAACTTCATGAGTATCTCCGGTTGCCGACCTTTGGCTTGCAACTCCTCCAGCGCGAGGATGGCATCGACTTGCTCCGGCAGCATGTCCTTCCGGAGGTGGAGGCGGCCGGCGCCGGTGTGGCTAGGAGCGGTGAACTGAGATGGTATCTCTTGGAAGGCAAGCACGATGTTGCCCTTGGCCTTATGCACGACTTCCCGGACGTCCTGCATACTCGCACCTCCACCTGGGGAGAGCCCCACTTACAAGCCCTGAGACACGAATCCTGGAATGCCTACCGACTCCAAGCCCTACATAACTAATGTAGAAGCCTATTCAATCGCCAATACTATTTTGGGGGCTCCTTATTGTAATTATAGTAGAATATACCCAAAATCCTATTTAATTATTAAGGCTGCTACATAGGTTTTGTACACAAACCTTAAATGCAAGCCCGAAGTCCCACAAACTCAAAAGCTAAGAAATGATAAAACGCCTGACTCCGCTGCCAGTAACAGCTGAACCCCAAGCCCTTTATGTTGTACTTATCGCGACTTCAAGAAGCTGATCTGCTTTCAGCTACCCTAGCCCCCAAACCCCACCTATAGCCCCAATCCCTGCAAAGTAGTAGGCCATGACACCGCAGTTATCAGGCGCAACCGTTGAAGTAGTAGGTCTTAGTAGGTACTAAGAGCCACAGCCGCAAACCCTAAACCATCCCTGTAGGTTTGCTTCAAACAAACATGTGACAATATGCAGCCCTAAACATGTAGTTTTGTAATGGCCCGGTAACCCCTAACCCCCTTACAGTAACCCTACTAGAAATAGCATTTACCCTTAAATTCGGCTCCTTAACGCGAGCTCCTTGTGCAGCCGGCGAGCTTTGCGCCAGGAGGGGACTTTCGACATCGGCGTCGCTGAGGCAATATTCGATGTTGTATGGAGCCTACATATCCACGAACACCTTTACTGCAGGGTTTACTGATGGATTGATAGCACTTGGAGGATCTTGGGACTTAGTAAGCTTAATTGGGATTACAAGTAAGTATATCTACAGTTACCCTAGTTATAACCCTACTTACTAAGCCCCATGATCCGTTACGTATGGACACCTCCAACACCCGAGTCGAATGATACAGTCATGTTTGCTAAGCGCTTCCAGAAGGTACGCAAAAGGCCCCATAATATGATACCTCTTATAAATCCCTTTAGAGAACCCTTATAGACACCCTTGTACTTAAACCTTAAGCTGTAACCCCTAAACCCTGAAATGTACACCCTACACCCTAAACAGCCCCTTTTGACATGCTCTTGTTTGCTTCGTCCCTCGGCCTTACGGCCCGCCGGGTCAAGTTGCACGCATGGGCTACTGTTGGGGCCTTCATAATTAGAATAGGGTTCAGGATTTAGGTGGTATATTCTATTATAGATATGATAAATAAGGCCCCCCCCCCAAAAAATAGTATTACTAACGATTTAGGTCCCTATATTACTGTTGCGGGTGTTCTTTGAATCCACTGCAGCCGTACCGTTGCAACTTCCACAAACCAGAGAAGCTGAACGATTAAAAGGTGCTTCATGTAGGACTTGAAAGTTTGATGTGACGGCGGATTCTGCTGCGCTTGGCCTTTGCCAGACTGCAGACTAATGTGATTAATGCTGACCTTTTGAGGCCCACAACGACTGCCAAGAGCCTATCTGGCGTGAGAGTAGTCTCTCTACTCCTAGGAGGGAGACCCCAAACAGGGGACCCTTCTGAACCCTTCTTCTGGTTCTTATAAGATTAAAGCACCTTATTCAGAGGGTCTATATCTTTAGGGGTCGCCCTAATCCTAACTCCTATAGTCATGACTGACGGATCTGAAAGCCAAGACCACGATCTTGAGTGCGCCGACAAATGGGTAGTTTTCTAAAATAGGGTCCCCTTTTAGGTCCCCAATATAGTACGGCACCCTTATAAAAAAGGACCCCGAAAGGGACCCTAATTTAGACAACTGCCCAAAATCACAAAGAGTTGAGAGAGTCATGGGAAGCGTTGGCTGGACGAACGAGAGTTATGTCCTTCACCATAGGTTTCAAGCTTGCACCGAAATCTCGACATGCTTCTCGTGGAGCTGGGCCTGCAAATGCAGATGCCCATGTCAGAACAAAAGAGGTGTTGGAGGATAGTCGGAACCCAATGGTAAAATCCTTGTTTGTGGCACCCTATGGAACCGTTCAAGATGTACAACCCTGAGTCCTGAACTTCGAAAACGCCGTCTCATGCGGTTCAGAGGCTACACTTGGTGTTTGTGCTTCACAAGTTGAGGTTTTTGGTTCCGGGTTTAAGGGGTGAGGATTGATATAGGAGCCTAAACAATTACCAATATTGCTGTTAGGGCTCCTTATTATAGTGGTTTTTAAGGAGCCCAAAACCCTATCCTAATTATTAAGGTCCCTACATTGGGGCTTAGGTAGATGCCATCCCCTAAGCCTAACGCCCCAAAGCTTGACTTCAAACTCCCGAAAAGAAACATAATGTAAGGGCCTTAAGAATAAGAATAGGGTTTGGGAGGGTTTCTTATTCAAATTTTAGTATGTTATACCCCCAGACCCTATTCTAATTATTGAGGCTTCTATTTTAGTAATGCAGAACCCTAAACCCTAAGCCCTAAACCCTAAGCCCTATTCTAGTTATTGAGGCTTCTATATTAGTAATGCAACATGAACCCCGAGCCGCATCGAGCCCTGATGCACATAGACCCGTCCAGGAGCCCCCCGGAAAGACCCCTCAAAAAGAATTCTCAGAGGTATCTCCGCCTTTGGTTCGAAGGTATAGCAAATCCAAAAAAGTTGGAAACCGGATTTAGGACACAAAGTGCTGAGATTCTTCCTGCATTGCTCTTCAGGAGTGAGGCTTTTGGGTTTCTAACTTTTGGGCTTTTGCTATACCACTTCGGCACCCTTGTGCATATTCCTTTAAGCGTGGGTTTTTGGGGATCTCTGGGCAGGTGGACCTGGACGAGCCCGATAATACCAGCTGCCCGCAGCTGCGGAGGCCGATGGTATAAGACCTCGAAGAATCCCGGAATTAAGGAATCTCTCCTTAAATCATTGCGAGGATTCTATCATGAGTTACGGTATATTCCTGAATTAAGGGATTTTGGAAGGTCGGGGGCACAAAATCTTGGAGTTTTGAAGCCATGCCAACTTAGAATTATAATCGAGCCGTATCTCAAATCCTATGAGGTAGTAGGACAGATTATGGATACCATCAGGTAGGTTCCAGGGAGCTTCGGATATAAAACTTAGCAAGATCGAAAAACCGGATAGCTCCTGAGTTCTGTTGCAAACCGTTATTAATATAGATAACCCTAACCCCTAATCCCTAAACAAAAACATAAACGTCGATGCCACCAGGCTATAAGGTTTGTAGGGCTTAAGGATCAGGCAGGGCTCGTGCATGAAGGCTTTTGGACGCAAAGGCCATGCTCTTGAAGGCTTTTTGGGCTGTTTTGATTGATGCTTCGGGATATAACTCAGCTCGATAGGGCCCTTTTTTTTCTGTTCGGCCTGTTCTCAGAGCCTACGGGAAAGCGGATTATGATACTTCACAGCTCAAGGTCCTACACCCGGAACCACACAATCCGAAACCAGCCATCCGACCTACCTTCAGGAGGACAAGATTTCATTGATTCGATCAGAAACAGTGCCTTGGCACTCTCTCCCTCCCTCTCCCTCTCCCTCTC